CTGCAGCCCCAGGGATGGAGGGGTGGGTTCCTCCCTTGGCCCTGAGGGGGCTGCAGGGTCTGCCCTGCTCCCTTGGTCCCTCCGTGTTGGCACAGCCCCAGCCCGGATGAGTTAAAATCCACCTCCAGACAAAAGCCTGGGGTCCCGCCTGCTTTTCAAGGATGCCGACGGACCTGATCACCAGCCCTGGCAGAGAACCACGGGCACAGGCTGCCGTGGCTGCCGGGCGCCCAGCAGAGGGTCCCAGCCGTGTCGATGGCCCCCACTTCGCTCAGCAGTGCTGGGAGGGCTGAGCAAGGGGGGGCACCAGGTCCAGCAGCTGGTGTTCAAGCTGGGAGAACAGCAGGTTGCTGGGAAACATCCCTCTTGAGCTCCGATAAAAATAGCTCCATCTTCAAGGCGAGAGGACTGGCTGCACTGCCAGCGGCGCAGGGGATGTGTCTGCACCCTCCAGGGTGTGGGGGCCGGTGTGGGATGTCCTGTGGGGTCTGCACCTCGGACCCCCGTCCCACACGTCTGTTGTGACATGGTGCAGTGGGACAGACGTGCAAGAGATCAGGGATTGCCTGTCATTGCCCCAATGCTGTTCGCCTTTATCCCCAAATCAGACTTGGAAATGTGTGAGAACAGGAATCGGGGCTGAGTGGGGAAAGTGAGGGTGTCTTTTTCCCCCCAGCCAGCTCCTCCTGCCTCTTTGGCTCATCCCAGTGTTTGCCCTCACGAGGAGGGGATTCAGGGAGATGTGGAGCTGCGCTCTGAGCCCTGGCATTGCAGAGCTTGGGGGGTTTCTATGCAAAGGCTTTTTCACTGACAGCAGCTAGGCTGGGTGCGTTGGGACATCCCTTTCCCGGGCCATGAAGACCCTCTCTCCCTTCTGCAGCTCTGGATGGGCTCACTTCCCTCCTCAGCATCTCCACGAGGTCGGTGCCTCTCCCCAGCCTGGGGAGCAGGGTGAGGGCAGGTCAGGGATTCACCTTTCCCCCTCCACCCTTCTTGGACACGATTTGAATTCACCATCCAGGGGATTCACACCCCCAGCAGCAAAACCCTTCTGGGACGCAGCTGGGCGGGAAGGCACACAGACCCCATCCCGGTCCTCTGCCACCTTCCTTGTCTGGGGCAGGCGTTTCAGCCCCGAGG